CGGAAATCTATGAAAATCATGAATGACGCGTTTCAGTTTCAGCCGATGGTGGGCGACGTCTATGAGAGCGGTATGTGTACCCTACCCAGGCAACATTGGCCCAGTCAGAGCGTTCAATCGATGTCGATGACAATGAGTCCTCCGATATTGTATGCCGGTCTGGGCGTCGTCACCAGGACCTGTCCGAGCGGCACGCTGCCGACGAAGGACTGTGAGACACGAGTGCCCGGTCAGTGTTGTCCAGCAATCCAGACGCAGAAGGACGCGACGATAGGTACGCCAGTGGTGATGGCCAAGAGGGAGAGCTCTGTGTGACCCTACACCCACCACGGGGCCTGCACCTGCAGCGTGAGCGAGTTGCTGTGAATCACGCCGTTGTCAATCGCGAGATAGCCGCGGATCCTGGATGACACGAGCGTCCAGGAAACGTTCGGGAGATGTCTACAGGTCATCACGCGAAAATTGGAACGTCTTTCAGGAACGAGGCTTCAATTTCAATTCCGAAAGGCGTTTGGACAATCGTTATGTAGATCTGAAAATTGAGATGTCTCCTTTGAACGATTTGTAAGGGGGATGTTTTCTTTTACCAAACTGGAATGTCCCTCCGACGTCGCTTGTGTCGTCCGGAACTCGCTTGGGCGAGCCGGTTTGAGTTCGACAGATTTAGGTTTCCACTCCACGACAAACGCCACGATTTGCGTCTCTCTGTTGAATCAAGTGCCCTTTTTACACTGAAAAACGACGAACATCCCGACCGGCTGATCTGCCGGCTTCTCTCATCTCGTGTGCGTAGCCTCGTGATCGAGCCCCGGTGGAACCAAGACGGGCACCTTATATGGTAGAGAGAGAGAGAGAGAGAGAGAGAGAGAGAGAGAGAGAGTGAGTTTACGAAAATGTGCGTGTTGCGCGAGCTCACCAGCTTGCCGCACATACTCCTGTACATACCTCGAGACACGGAAGATATTTTGTACGAGTCGCGTATATATTAACGATTTATTCCCACTTTTACTATGAACACAACACTGTACAATTTGTCTAGTCGATGTAAGTATAAATATGTATATGCGTTAAAGTCGTCGGGGAGAGGCGTCAGACCAGAATAACGTACACTGAGGGGGATGATCATCACCGTCGCGTCACGCGGGTCACGCCGCACGCGCGACATAATTATTTATAACGTTGACAATGCGTAAATGCGAAGTAGCGCGACTCTCGCGGGTACGGGAGAGAGAAAACAGTGGAGAGAGGGGGGGGGGAAGAGGGGCGAAGTTGTCAGAGACATATCGTTTGTATCTCTATCCGCGGGAATCGAGACGAGGCGTACGAAGTGCAGCGAAGTAATGAGACGAAAGACGAAGAAAGAGGAAAGAATGATGAAGAAGAAGAAAAAAATAAGATAAATCCCCGTTGCGTTTTCGTCTCAGTCTGCAGGATTCTGGATTTCATCGTAATATTAAGTATCTCTTGTACAATGTATAAAGTAACGACTTCCTCCGAAGTAAATGTACCGAGTATGATGAACGTTGTTTTTTCAAAGTCTTGAATCTTACTCTATATAGAGAGATGCCCCCAATTAAAAAAAAAAAAAAAAAAAAGTGTCGTACAGTAATCGCGATAGCACTTCTAACTTACTGCCTGTTTCGACGCTTGTGAATCTCGTTGGTAACTTCATTTGGCAGAGGTTTCCCGACCTCTCTCTGTATCATATAGCTTTAAAATGAAAAAAAAAAAAAAGAAGAGAAACGAAGGTTCGAAGGGCGGCCTCGTCATATCCTCCGTACGATACAGGGATAATCTCATCGTTGATTAGAGCGGCCCGAGTCGCGCTCTCTGGCTACCGGGCTGCTAATTCGCGAGAAGTAAGGTGAAAATTGACCATGTAGCCTTTCCCTTGATATCGAGCAGTCGATTACTGGGCGGTGCATTTCAGCTATATATTATTACGTGAGACGCGCGTCAGAAGTCTCTCCTTTTCGCGCGAAGTGATAATACCCCGTACTTTGCTTCGATCTCTGTACAGATTGATTTTTCGCGTATAGGATTTACGCTCCGAGCACGCGACGATCCTTCTGCGACTGCAAGGACTCACGTGAGAGTCGGAATGCCCTTCATACAGCGTGAGAAGACGAGAGAGATCTTTCGATGTTCACGTATTATATCTAAATAAGATCGTCGTGTATCTAATCGTTCTAGAATTCGATAACATAATCGTAATTAATCCGATGATAAATGATCGCAAATTTTTTCTGACGTTACAGCGCGTTTTTACGCTCTCTGAAGCAGCAATATTGATCTAGTTTAGGAAACTAGAACAGGAACACGAGACGAAACTCTTTCAAACGTGTTTCGAGAGCGCGAAAGTTAACTTAACTTCCTTCATCACATTGTTCCTTTTACATTTTAATTATTAAGCATTAAATAATTTTCCGTCTCTTTATAAGCGAGTTTTATCTTCAAACGAAGTCACGATTTCTGTCTCTTTTGACGCGGCCAAGTCGCCAAAAGCCAAAAGTTTCGTTGAAACGCAGCACGGTATTTGTCTACCAGATCGAAACTTCGCGTAAATTGACTATAAAGGGAATGTAGGTTGTGACTGTTTGCAGTCGCGTCGTCGTTGCAGTCTGTTATACGTGCTTGCAAATGAATATGCATAGGAGACGGTCCTCACACACGGACGAAGCATCCGCGTTTCCGTTCGCCGTGGGAAACGACAGGTGATTATCGGGGATACTTAGCGAATTATTCGATGTGTAAGGAATGTAGAAAACGGCGAAGTCGAAGATTTTATAAGCCGTAAAAAGCTATCACGAGAATTTCTAAGGCGAACACGTTGTTTTCTCGATCGCTTGGATGTTACGTTAACGCGTCGCTCCCGTGAAGATCTATTAACATTAAAAAAAAAAAAAAATGAGATGAATCGTTGATTATTATTATTACTGCCATTAATGGAATTGATGTCGGAACATTGTGAGTGTATGTTGTCGAAGAGAATTTTTAGTAATCGTTGATACGCAATTGATACGCGCGTTCCTCCACCTCCTCCCTCCCCCTCCCCTCCCCTTGTTATAACTTTTGCACACACATAGAAATTGTAGCCGTATACAATATAAAAGAACGTTGCAACAAAGAGATTCTGCGGTCCGACGACGGGGAAATGTCACAGGAACGAAAAACGTACAATAAAACCTGGATCCAAACTGCCAAAGTTTTCTATACTTCGTTCGTACGTATGATATCACTATATACGCCCACTATACTATGAGAAAAGGTGTGAACTTTTTAATAAATAATAAATAGATTTTTTTCTAACGAAAGACACACGATTTGTCTGAGAAAATATATTTCTTAATTCCATTTTTATCAACACGTTTAATTAAATCCGAAGAAACGTCAAGAGGAAAAAAAGAAAGAAAGAAAGAAGATAAGTCATCATTTTTCCGCATCTTGCTTGCGAGACAGTTGGTTTCCAGGGCACATTTCTACTTTTCGCTGTTCCGCTGATCCGAAATCTTTCGGCCATCGAACGCGTCGCGAGGCATAATATCGCAAGGCGGTGGCCAGACATTATTATCTGCAAAACGATTAAACGATATTTGTCAGCCAGCGCTGGAAGATTAACGTGAGTGTCGATGTTCAATCGCGCATGAATCGTACAGTTAATCCTCAGTGAAAACATGATATCGACGTCGATCGCACTCGTTTCAGTGTAACTTAAGTATCAATCGAAAAATGAGACGTGTCAAGGGAACGTCGTTTTTTTTTTGTTATTTTTTTTTTTAAAGGTAAGAATGCATTTTGCTGCACTGTTCCGTATGCGTCACTGCCTGTATATCGTAATAATGAGACCGGATCTGACCAGCCGCCGCTTGCGCGAGACAACATTGAAGTTTGTATATGTACTTAGTTTAGGACTATTTCCGACATACACACACAAACACACACACACACACACACACACACACACACACACACACACACACAAGTCTCATGTACCCCAGAACGTTTTTTTGATATTGTAAATATTCTGAAATAAATAATCGTTTTTATTCACGCGACTCGCGTGATTATTGTGTTCCTCAGCGGTAATCTTCGCACGGATCAACGATGATTCCCCTACAGCACAAAAGTTGCAGCAATATTGCGGAGATTTTGCAGCGATATTGCACTCCCCTATGGGTTTGATCAGTTTTTTTTATCAACGTCATAAACCCATATTAGTTTCTTTGTTAATTCACAAATATAAAATGCGTTCCTACTATGTCGAAAAGAAATTTTGCAAAGTGTCTCTTACAAAATTCAACGGTAGAATGCCAGCAAAAATATAATAAAATATAATAGTAAATTGATTGATAGAAATCATGTATAATTTATACAATTTTGGAACATATCATTTATCATTTTATTGTTATTATTATATTTAATTTATTATTATTTCATTTTTTTCATATGTTCTATTCAAATGGTTACGAAATAACAAATTCTGCTTGAATTTCTACTGGCAATCTGTCGTAAAAGATTATGTCGGCACTACTAGCAGAATACGAGATAAAATCGATGCCAATAATCTTCTGGAATCTACTGGCATACAGCTAACATTTTGCTTACTCGATGTACGTCAGTACATGTAATTCTTACCGTCCCAGAATGCACTCGGCGACGCATCGGAATACATTTGCAAATACTCCTCGACGCTTTTGAACACGGGCAAATTCACACTCAAGAGAAACTTGAGAACTGTGCTCTCGGGCAGATACCGGGCCGCTTTGTCTCCCAAGTCTCCAAGTAGCACGTCTTTAATGGCGATCGACTGTAAAATCGAATGAAACTAACGTCACGGGATAGAATGGAGGAAATTCTTAGCTTTATATGTTTAGTATTTCGGATTCAAAATCCTTCTCCCCCTTTCTCCAATAATTCTTTGAAGTCTCATCAAACCTCTGTTCGACATCCGCACAGAGTGTTGGACGTTTTATATCTCCCTTAGATCTCTGTAAAATTGCGAACCTGTTCGTACATCATGTTTACAATATACTCGCAGAACGTGTACACCTTTATTAGACATTTTAAGACTTCCTTTAAAATGTCATCCAATGTCTGAGCTTCTATCGTCCGTGGTAAAGTCAGCGGTATCATGTAGACGTGGCACCATGCTGAGAAGAATCTCTGCAAGTGCAATATATGTATGTGCAATCTTTTTTTTATGTATATCCACATGCACCGCATATCAGGCCACCGACTTGATGAACGTGATGATACGAAGGCAAAGAAATTGTTTTTCCGAATCTGCATACATCATCGGATATGACGAACATAAGATTTATAAGCTCATAGTGCTTATAAATCATGTCTTCCCACGCCTGTCAAGAAAATAAATCTCTGCCTTATTTCCATTTCTTTCTTAAAAAAATAACGAGTAGATAAATCACAAATGAGAATCGCAATCATCAAAGAAAAATTTTATGATTCGAAGGTTTGCAATTTAAATAAGTAATAATTTATTTTAACATTTTCTTCTCTTATGATGTAACGTTATATAATATGAAGAGATAAAAATATTGAAATACCTCTAATATGTGAATGTAATATAATGGATAAACAACCAATAGTCCTGTAATGGACGAGTTATCGTCATCCACGCATAAATCCCGCATAATATTTTCCATTCTCTACGAAATATAAATTATTTAAAAAATGCTTTTCAATCGTAACTTGTTTAATTATACGCTGAATTAGTATTGTTCGTAAATATAAAAATATTGTCTCTGTACAACAGGAACATAAATTATCTTTGACATTTACTTATTAACTTCGTTGAATATTGTTAATGTCGCTAATTATATTTGCTATAATTTCTCAAAATACAAAAGTTATTTCCGAAGATTATTTGCAGTGTATCATAATTATATAAAACTCTAAGAAACAATATATATAATTTACACTAGTACCTACCTTTCGAAAAATTTCATGAGTTTCGTAATATTTCCCAATGTAAATAACTCGCGTAATGTAAGTTTTCTAAAAAGAGAATGTGACGTATATTTCAAGAAAAAACTATGCAAACTTTACTAACTTACAAGTTACATTTGTATCATTTCTGTTTAAACTTGAATATTACAAATATTTTATAAACAATATTTTTATACGTAAAAGTTTTAGGTCACCGTTTCAGTACTATATTGATTAAAAATTATTAATTACAGATACACATTAAACAATCAAATAGTACAACTTACAGAATCAATGACGCGAAGATTACGTTGTATCACATCTAAAACGCTTTTTCGCACTGGTTCGATTAATGACGGCATTGGAAGTTTTGTAACACGTTTTTTCTTACTAGCCATTAATGTGTATTATATTCTTCTGTTAACTTCGTAAATTCGTCTTTCACATAAAAGCAGAAATTCTGCGTATATTTTAATATGTCGTAATGGCGACGATGGTGAAAAGAGCGATCTGAACGTTCAAAAAAGTCCTATTCAACGAATGCTTACTTTGAAGCTATCTTCGTTACTACAAGTTTTATATACACAGTGAATAAAATGGCAAATACATATTCATATCCAGTATCATTCATATCCAGTATCATTCATATCCAACATCATTCATATTCAGTATCATGAATACTTGAATAGCTACATAAATCTGCGCCAAAAATTAAGCTGTTCTTCAGCTCGTGGATATATAAGAACGGATAAAAGGTAAAAGTGAAAAACATAAATTGGTAATGATTTCGGATGAAAGATCAATATATGTATTAAATAAAATGGCTAAATAATTTTTTTAAATCAGATCTCTAAAAATATATTTATCATAAATTTCTACACTTAATGATAGATTGCTTTCGCAAACTAGAGATCCATGAAATCTATATAATTACGTAGAAACAAAATTTAAATCTAAATACGTAGTATCAAAGGATTGCTATGAAAAACTAAAGTGACAAGATTATGCAATAGACGATTTTGCATTTTAATTTTGCATGAAAGTATTTCAGTCTACGCGTTATCACAAGAGAGTTAACATCAATTATCATTTATATTATCGCGCTTATTCTAAACATTATCTATTAAATCACATTGCTAAATTGCAAATAATTCTAATTATTTTTTTGCTATAATCGGCAACAACGGCGGTGTCGGCTCGCTAGGATTACCTAGCCATACGGATTTACTAAAGCGTCCCTTTATAACGGGCGCTTGCCACTTGTTACTGGACACGATGGTAGCCGTCGGTTTCTCCGCCGTGACCGTGGCTACGCTTACAGTCCTGAAATAGTAATAAAGATTATTTAAGAGTATATGAGTGAAAAGATTGCGTACTAAATGAAATAAAACTGTTTACAGAACATCACGAAACGAGATAATAAAACAAGAATTCATTTTCATTACACTCATCTCTTAGGAAAGAAATAATTACTGTGGTGAAGAATTTTTACACGAAACTTTAGTAGAACAAGACAGGAGAAAATGAAAAGGTATTCGTAATGCACAAACAGCATTTATTAATGAAAAACGTGTTACAAATCTTTTTAAGCGCCGTTTATTTTTTAATAGTAAATTTACGAAAAAATAATTTCTCCAAATTTGAGTATGTATTAAGGGTTACTCCTCAGCTTACTATAATAATACATACTGATCCTATTCGAGGATCCTATTCGTATCCTCCACCCATATCCTCACAAATTGTTTATATACTTTATATCAGAGCCTTTCAACTCGTGCACCGCGTACATGAAATTTCGTGCCCGCGGTGCGCGAAAGGCTCTGCTTTATATTATGTATAAATTGTTCTACATGACCAGTATTTTGCAACATTAAAAAATTTTAATAAATAATGTGACGAAATAATTGAAATGAATTTATCTTAAAAAGAGTAATTCTAATAAAACATAAAATTATAAAAAAAGTTGCAAGATGGTATAACAGTAGCAGTGTAATATTTATCACATTGTGTAAATGTGTGATTATTTCAGAGAACAAATCCAATGTTAAAGACGCGATTATAATAATAAATTATATAAACACAAAATAAAACAATAAAGATGAATGGAGAACGTAGGTGAACAATTTCCATGATAGTACACTTTATATTTTCTATCTGACAAAAACTAGTGCGTAAATAAACACAAAATAATTCACGATTGTCTATAATTGATTAGGTCCTCTAATGCCAAGGTACTTGACTTGGATGACTGATGGTACCCAGTTTGTAGTACCTGGTGGTAGATGGCACCTGTTGAGCTGGTGTAGACGAACTCGGCGGAGTCGCTACGATAGGAGTTTCAGCACCCTGAGCTGGAATACCGTCTCCTTTGAGAACAGAGATGCATTTCCAATGGTTAATGAAATTATCCTTCCACAATCGGACGCAACCATCGTCGCCGGAACTTGCTAAAATCGTTCCCATACAGTTCCAGCTAACACGCCAGACAGTGCAATAATGATCATCGAACTGTGCGACTACATTCGTTTCAAAATGCGATACACCAGTCTGTGTACTCTCGCTGAAAAAAAATAATAATATACATTTACTTTCCCGCTTGCCTATTATTTTTTTATACAATCTTAAACAGTTTTACTTACTCCGTCGGTTTTAAAGTGACTATTCGTACATCTTTTGTAGCTATAGCCAGTGTGTGGAAATTTCTGCCTAGATTAGGAGCAAACGCAATGTCGTAAACAGCATCCGTAATGCTCGATAATGTCTCGGCTTTCACCCAGCGCCTACTGTTCTCAGAATATTCGTAAATAAAGATTTTTGCTCCAAGTGTAGGATTTGGATCGTCGCTACCGACTGCTATCATAGGCGGATGTAGTCTAAAGTATATTTTTATCAAATATTAATACAAGCACATTAAGGGGCCAATTCTGTAACTCTTAACGACAGTTATTGATGTCGTTGCGCAGATATTATGTAGAGTAAAAAAGCTGTGTAGTGACATCGACGACTGTCGTTACAAGTTACAGAAATGGCATCTAAAATTGATGTTATTTTATCTTATACATTAGATGTTATTACGTAATACATTATTAGGTCTTATTATTTTGTAATAAATTATATTTTTAATATCAGTAACAAACATTTTAAAAAAATTAGGAAATAAGAACACACTTACCTAGAGAGAGATGGATTCCATGTAAGACAACTACATGAAAGTTTACAGTTGATGTCATGTTGTAACGTCCACTGGCTCAAATTCATGATATCTGGTGCTTCATATATCCGAATGAATCCATCTGCGCTACAAGTGGCCAGAAGAAGGCCTAAAGTCTTTGGTGCAAACTTTACATCTGTGACGGAAGTACGTGAATCAACTAAATTTGTTCTTTTAATCCAATGTTTGCTGCCACGAGCTTCTGGTCCCGAACCTTCGCCAACTGTCAAGAAAAAGAAAAGACATAGGGAAGTAGAATATAACGTCAAGCTTAGAAACAAGAATAAAAAAAAATTCATCATACCAATTTCCTCCCAAACAGCAGCGGTGCGATCAAATGAACATGTAGCGAGAACCTGACCAAATTCTGGGTGTGCCCAAGTGACTTTCCACACCGATCCACTATGGGCCTTCCAAGAAGCAGTTAGATGCCAGTTTCCATGTTCATCTTCATCCCAAACCTGTAATATTTAATTAAACCTATAATAAATAATTTAACCTATAATTTCATAAATAAATATATATTTAATAGAAATTTTTATAAAAATTAATTCTAAATTAATTCTAAATTAATTCTAAATATTTAATATCTATATTTAGCTACAATTAAATATGTATACTAGGAAGAATCTGAATCATATGTCTATAAATCTGTTTTTTATAATTCAACTAATTCACACTTTTGGAAATTAAAGTGAAACAGATATAAACAAGTAAAATATTTATGTAAGCCTTTATGATATTAATGCTTAAATTAGTTATTCATAACACGATAGATACATAAATCACAATCAGTTGAGATGTGTTTACCAAAGTCAAAGTAAACGCAAACATTGCGAGTTGTATCTACCGTGTTATGAATATATAATTTAAACGTATCAACATCCATAGATGCTCACATAAGCGTTTTGCTTGTATCAAATGTATTCTTCTTTTAGATGGAGTCCACAAATATTACTGTTTTACTTTTAATTTAATTTCTAAACTTATTTTAAAATAAGTTTAATATTTAGTGAAAAAAAACGAGAAAAAAAGTTCTAGTGCAATCTAACGCAGGAATCAAAACAGACATTCCTTCGTTTATTGTACCTTTACAAATTGATCACTGGAGCACGTCGCCATTCGTTCCCCATAGTAATCGTAGGCGATATCGTGTATGAGATCTTTGTGTTCCGCATTGATGCTGTGCGCCTCGTACATCGTGAATAAAATAAATGTGATATATACTCGAATGAGAGATTGTTTACTAAACGCGCCATACGTTGAAGGTTATAATATAGCGTGCCCGTGTCGACACTGTCGACGTCTGTCGGCACCAACAGAATTATGGGTGCTCGAATCTGTTCGAATCTACGCAAGATATGTTAATGGCAGCGCTCTCTATATCGTTTCAAACTTTTTTCAAATATTAACATTTATAAAGCTCAATTTAATAAAAATTACGCTGAGATTTAATTGTCAATCATGCAATGTAGAATAAATTGAAGAATAATTACAAAATAATATATATTAAAGAGTCTAATACAAATATTATATTTCATTCCTCCTCTATTCTGCAAGAAAACAGATAATATAAAACAGATATAAAATTAATAAAAAAATATTTGCTTTATAACATAAATTATTTTATATATTAAAATTGTATTTCAAATATTACCACTTATAGGGTATCCCATAAGAAATTGTTGAAACTAATCAGCTGTTTATTTCTATAAAGTGCATAAAAAATTTAATATGTATAAATATGTATAAGCATACAAAAACATGTATAATCATATATAAAATGTCCATATATCCATCTTTCTTTTGTAAAATTACTTTTCAGTGTAATGGAAATAATAATAATATACAGTAAACATATATAATTATACATAATTATGCATAACAAATTTTTTACCAGAACATAGCAAATAATAAAAATAGAATATCTTTTATATGGCAGTTTTTATTTACTTATAAATAAAGTAATAAAGACGATCAAACATTTTTATTATTTAATAAATGTTTATGAATACTAATCTCATAAAATATATATCGGAAATTTAAATAAAATATTTTATGATTATTAAGATTGGCAATATTTGGCATTTTTATAAATATTTATTAAATAATAAATTTAATGAAATTTTTATTAAATAATTAAATAAAAAAAGCAAAGAACAAAATTTATTAAAATATAATAAAAAAATTCTCAACTTTTATAAGCGAACAGATCGATATACTTTTTTCTTCATTTAACAACGAGATTAAATATTGGCAAATTACTGTTCTCATATTAATTGATTATGTTAAACGTTACGTTACAAGATCCTCTAGGACAACTAGCATTACGGCGCAAAAGTTGTGTGTAAGGCCGAAGGCGGTTTCGGATAACACTTTGACCCATTCGTATGGTGTCCGTTATCCGAGACCAACTCGCTCTCGTGCCATTGCAGCTGCAAATGTATTCCTTGCCCACCCTGGCTGATCGTCATGAATGCGATCAGGTGTATCGCGATAATGACCGGATATTTTCGCAAATCTCGCTCCAGTAATAGCACCGACCGAGCCATCATTATCGTGTAGTTAAGGTTGAATATCAGGTGATCCCCATATACAGGTAACGACCGATTATTATATTTATCCATTATAATATATAAAAAAGCAAATATACAATCTCTGAATTGAATTTGTTACTTTTCTACAATATATTTTTATGCTTCATAGATATTAAAATAATTTATATAATATTCTTTATATCTTTTATACTTTTATTTCTGTTTCTTTTCTGTTAAAATAATTTCAGTTTTTAAATTTAATTAATTTGATTTTTAAAAGTTAAATTAATTTGACTTTTTGAAAGAAATTGAAATCTAACAAAGTAATATCAAGCAAATGTGAGATAGGCATTAAAAAAAAATTATAATATAAAATGCGATTGACATGGCTTTTTTATTAACTTTATATATCTTAAGCTTATAGAAATAAATGTGAAAATTAAAAAAGCGTCAATCAATCAAAAATAAAATAAATCTTTGCAATAATGAAGAATGGTGTTAACAGGAAATAATACTAAAATAATTTCTCGAATATTAATACATCGAGAAGAATAGCTTACTCGTCGTGTCCTGGCATCGCTGTCATCTACACCCTTTATCGCATTTCCGGGCCATATTATGTCTATGGCACTTGCATACGGTGTAAATAAATACTCCATATCGTGGAGTGTCATCAGGCACTTCGGCCAGTCGTCTTGTGCGAGATATGGCGCTACTTCGTCGCCTTCGAGTCAGTGCCGAGATCGAACTATGAAATGTCGGACTGAAGCTTCTTTGTGTTAAAAGAAAAAAATCTAAAGATAAAAAAAATCGAGTGATATTTTTCGTGCGATCGAGCAAGCAGAATTTCCGTAATTACGCGAAAATCATGCATAAAATGTGATCATCAGAGAATAAAATCAACGAAAGTGATTTTGATTTGTCAAAAAAAATAATTTTTTGTTTTTATTTTATATATATAATATATACACGTAGCATACAAAATAATTGTGACATTAGAGTAAATGTGATACCTAAATATTTCTCAAAAGATTAAAATAATAAATAACAATAAAACTCATGATAAAAAATAAAGGATTTATTTCATTTAGAATTATTAAATAGAAATTTTAAAATATTAATTATTCTTAAATAACATATTTTAAAATTAAAAATAATAGTTATCAAATATATCATGAAAAATACTGCGTCACATTTGCTCAAATATTATAATCACGCTAATTAAATCGACGATTTATAAAGCAAATATTTCCGACGAAAAAAATCTTTACAAATAAAGTCGTGATTAAATGAAATATTTAGGTTTCTAATTAAATATGTAATAAATATGTAACTCAACGACATAATTCATCGCCTTGCGGCGATACATGGCATCATTCTTTCCGCGAAATGTGCGCACTGTGCCGTCGGTAAACAGAGTGTAAGGACTTTGTAAAAATAACATTAAAAGTATTATGCTCCGTTTATCAACAGTACGGTGTGACGGAATCTGCTGATCGAAACCAAAAGAAAGAACTCTTCGCATTTGATTTTTGCGGCTCCCATATTCCAGCATAACTCAGCCATGTCATTATGAAAGGCATTATGCTAAGAATATGCGGTGTCGTGAATTTGCATGCCAATCCTCATGGTGAAAGTTCAGGAATGTCGCCTACAAGTTATATGGCGACAAAATGGAAAAAAATCACAAAATATTCTTTAAATATTAATATAGTTAGATGTGAACATTATAGTTTTCCTACACTTTCTGAAACTGAAACAAATATTCTGAAATTGTATTGTATTTGCTAACTTCTGATTAAACGATTGCAACAATTACGAAGAGTATCTCATTGAATGTCAATAAACAGAAATACGTCTGTCGCATCGAAGAATGTACATCGTCCATATAATGTACTCGCATTATTTGCAACGTCAAAGAAATCTCTTGATTCACCGAGGTTATCCATCTTTGCGACCTTATTGCATTTATTTCTATATGTTGTCAGTGTATATCGATAGCGCGGTAATTTGTGCGAGCAATTCACTGAGAGCGAATCTGCAATTATTTCGCTTTCGTGGTGACAATTCCTTCATATCACGAATTAGTCGCGTTTCTCGTGTGATCATGCAATAAGCAAGAAATCGTTTCAAATTTTTGGTAAGTTCAATTTTCGATGTTTTTTTTTTAGACAGAATATATAAATCTGAACAAACAAAACGAGCATATTTAATAATAACATAATGAAAATTTAATTAATTATTAATTATTAAATATGTGAAATTATTAATTATTAATAATGCAATTAGAAGTATTAGAACATTATACTATATAAATATTTAGCTATAATAATTACAATATTATGTATCGAACACACAGTTGAGTAATTACTTTTTCAAAATGTAAAAATCTTACAAAAATTGCTATGTATATGTGATTGCGTTTTAAAGATAAGTTTTTCTTTTACGTCTTGTCAATTTTCTATAATTTTATATTATTATATATTAATGATTAGTTAGTATTAAATTGATAAAACTGTGGAATATACTATTTTCTGTTTATTTAAAATTTACGAAGCTTAAGCTAAATTATTACAATAAACTTTAATATATCAACTTTATACAAGGTGTTGGATAATTAACAATAAAACTCGCATAGCAACAAAATGGATTAAACTGAGTCGAAAAGTCCTCTACTATTTTGTAATTTTCGCAATAGTTAACAAAATTAATTACTAAAAATTGCCGAATATTTGTTTTCAATAATTTTTTATTCAAATACTGTCAACTTTACATAAAAAAAAATTATTTATTTTCTTCTCATAGAGCTCTAAGAATTTTCTTTTCATAGAGCTCTAAGAATTTTTTCAGAATTTTTTATCAACTTTTTAGTACTGTATTTTCTTATTGGCAACTATAATAGTTTTACCAACATGAGAAAATACGGTATTAAAAATATTCTGAAAAAATTCTCAGAACTTTATGAGAAGAAAATAAATAATTTTTGTCTCTTGCTGTTTTCCTGTAAAGTTGATAATATTTAAGTAAAAAATTATTAAAAACCAATATTCAGTGATTTTTAGTAATTATAATATCTTGTTAACTATTACGAAAATTGTAAAATGGTAGAAGACAATTCGACTCAATTTATAATCTATTCTGTCGCTTTGTAAGAGTTTTTATCAGACACCTTATATAAATGGCGCTTTGACTTGTGTAAGCACTTATAATCTTTGTTATCATAAATAAATATATCTATATTGCAACACGTTACAATCCGCGTATCACCGAATTTATACCTATATTAATCTCAGTGGAGAAGCGATATCCGTTGAAACTTGCGAAGAAAATGCGTGTGGCCGTCGTAGGCGCCGGTGTAATAGGAGTATCAAGTGCGTTTGCGGTGAAAAGCGTTTTTCCAAGTTATGATGTGAAGATCTTCGCTGATGCATTCTCACCTGACACCACTGGCGACGGAAGTGCTGGTTTATGGACTCCTTTTCTCCTCGGTGACACACCTGCTGAAGACATAACGTAAGTGCGCTCGATTATATCTGTAGATAATAAAAATGAAATCACACGTTATGAAGTTTAAAGATTTCTCGAAGAAAAATATAGACATTGATTTTTCATGTTGAATACTTTTACATTTTAATCTATCGCAAATATAGATATAGAATACAGATCTATAGATCTGAACCATCTAATATTTCTGATAAATACAATAATAAATTACGATAGTTAATTACAATAATTACACTTACGAGTCAATTCTAAGCAGAATCGTAAGACTCGTAACGTGTTCTCGTAAAACTTGTAAGAACTTATGACTAATATTTTAATTTTATGCGTATATATATATATCGTAAATCTACGATTTCTAGTAAATTTTATGGCTAGTAAAAAACTATTTGTAAAAATATTGTATAAAAGTATAAAGCACTTAAAAATTCTTACAAGTCTTACAGGAATATGTTACTAGCCTTATAATTCTGCTTAGAATTTAAGTATTATAAGAATTAATGTATGGTTTTGTTAGTCGATGGGCTGGTAACACACATCAGTGGTTCGAGCAATTTTGGAAAGCCGGATTATCATCAAAAACGGGTATTTCTCTACTGCCTGTAACTTGTGTTACTAGTAATTATGAGGATTACGTTGAGCCAATATGGGTAAAATTTGTCTATGGCTTCCAAAAATTAAGTAACGAAAGATTACAACGCTTAAATGAAGAACACAAGTCCAATTACAAGTAAATTAAATCTTTATAAGGCTTAAATATATAAACAATTCAAACCATAACAATTAATCCAGCCACGTCACAAGATATTATCAGCAAATGTCATTTATTTAAAATTATGAAGTTACAAAAATATATAAATCTAAGAGATAGATTTATATAGTTTTGTAACTTCATAATTTTATATTATTAATTTTAATAATATCTTACAACGTGGGTGTATGCTCTTCGTTTGAATTGAATCAATTACAAGTACATTTTCCATGTTATATCTTAAAATTAAATTATTATAAAATTAAATAATTAAATTAAAATAAATTAAAGACTATTACATATACAAAATTTGAACGAATCGCTTTATTTTCATTTTAATTACCGCTTATTATTATTGCTGTCTCTTTCGAACGTTTATCGAGATTTGAAGTTAACAATTTCAGACAAGGTATACAATATATAACTTATACTGCCGAACCGGTTCTACTCCTGCCGTGGCTCATGGAAAAGTTTGTTGCTTTGGGCGGAGAAGTGGAAAGAAGGAACATTAAAATGTTGCACCAATTAGCAGAAGAAGGGTATGATTTAATAATAAACTGCAGCGGGCTCGGTGCACGAGAACTCGTCGCGGATGAAACGATGACGCCTATTAGAGGTCAGGTGTACAGGGTAACCCTCTAATCTACATTGCATCTTCTTATTTTTAAGTAGATTCGAGTTACAATAGTAGTAATTTATTTATATATTCCATGTGCGTAAATGTAAAAATATTTTAAAAAGTTATCGTTTAAGCGTCAATCTTTTTCATAAAAAATAAAAGTCGTTCGCTGTCTTTCCTTTCTTCGTCAATATGTGCCTGATATACCTTTTTTAAAGTATTGCTTTGCTGATAAATTTAAAACTAACTGATTTAGAGATGTTTATTTAAGGTAAAAGCACCTTGGGCAATGCATTGTTTTTTGGCGAATGATGATGCCTCATGCAATTACATTATCCCTAAGTATGCAATATTAATAATGCATATTTATTGACAGTGACGTTTATTCCACGGCCTCTATAATATTTGTCCACAGCATCTACAGCGTCGTAATAGGTGGTACTCATCAAGAAGGCGATTTCGATCGTTCCGTACGAGAGAAGGATTCGAAACACATTTATGATGGATGTTGTCGCATAATGCCGTCTCTAAAGGTCCCTAAGATACTCGTAAATTTAAGTCCTCTGTTTTAGCCATGTGGAATTTTGCATCATCTGTTAACAATCTGGATCTTTAAACTTCGGCGCAGATTTTCGTATTGTTCCGGAACTGTGAAAATCTGACAAATGTATACTGAAAGCTTTAACAATGAGATTTTACTATTGTAAAAGTCGGATTGTATTTTACTTATTTTTTACAGATTGAAATTCATCTATCAAAATTCACAATCAAAATATCGGTGTCTTCAAAATTCAACTTGGTTGACGAAGGATTAAGCATTAAAAGCATATTGTATGAAAACCTGAAAGAGTTCTTGTATACTAAAAGCTTCAATAATGAGTTTTTACTATCATAGAAATTGGATTGTGTTTTACTTATTTTTTTACTACAGATAACATGCATGTTGCATAAGATGTCTAAAAAACATCTTTTAGATGTCTTATGTCTAAAAGATGTGTGTGTGTTTAAAGATATCTTTTAGATACTTTAACATAAATGTTACCTGGGGTACATATATTTAAATTTATCTATGAGAATTTACGATCAGAATATCAGTGCTTTCAAAGTTTAACTTGGTTGGTGGAGGATTAATAAAAGACCAGTAATTTCTCAAGATAAAATTTACGCTTGTAATTTCTGTCGTAGGGGAGTAAAATAATACGCGCGTGGGTGGGCCTTCGACCAGGACGACCGCGAGTTCGTCTGGAGTGCGAGAGCTTCAGTTCGTCCATGGGAAAAGAGTTCAAGGTAAATTGCCATAAGATAATATACTGTTAACTATATGCCGAGAGTAATATTGAGTTGAACTTTAATACACCATCATTCGAGCGCCGCTAAACTTTATGATCGCTTCTTATAACGCTTGTTTCGTGCTTTATATTTTAGGTGATACACAATTACGGCCACGGTGGAAGTGGCGTGACGCTGTGCTGGGGGTGCGCCATGGATGTCGTGGAGATGATAAAAAACTTGAAAGTGCCTGAATTAAACTCCAAACTGTAACTTCAGGGACAGAATAAACTTTTTATCCTTCATACATTTTTACCTGCATCGCTGCGGGGCGTTTAACCTTGCTCAACCCTTTATTTTTATTACCGCCCGAAGAATTGTGTCGTTAAAAATATTATTCTCATTTTTTTACTTGTCTCCTTTTTATTTCAAATTTAAATTAAATCGAAATTGTTTCTCCAGCGAGAGGAACGGGTGTTACCGTTAAGAACTTTCGTTTTTCGCGATCTGCATTGCTCGTGCCTATTTGACATTTGATCAATATTCGTAATTCTTACTTTAGACCTACTTGTTTCGCATAACAATGGCAAAAAGTCGAGAAACATAATTAAACGTCAAGAAAGCGAACGTAAGCGCGCGAGAGTTCAATCTGCGCGGGGCGCACCAACCTATTTAAAGTTCCGTGTCGTGCAGATCACTTCCGTAACTGTACATACAATTTCTAAATATGGTCGTCAGGCTGTAATTAAAGCACCAAACTAACTACTAAGATACCTTACATGTCGACCATGCCGCAGTAGTCGCGTAAAGCTAGACGTCGGTGACGCGTGTCTCTTCAGTCGCAATACGATCTATATCGGCCATACAGCTTTCCTTTCGCAACAGCATTTAACGTTCGTCATCAAAATTAGACAAGAAAATCGGCAGGTACGTTCATTAAAATATAAAAAATATATTTTATATAAATTTGATACGTTTGACAACTTTGAATCAATTTCATCCAAAAAAATTTTACATATTCTTTATAGAGAAATATGCCGTTGTATTTTTAATATTTAGCAGTAATTATATATTATAGAAATGATTTATGATAAATAAGAGACATCTTAATAAAATTCAAAATATTTAAATATAAATTCAAGCATTGCCGAGTTTTTTTATGAACGGTTCTTTAGACTAATTATATAAAGCTAAAGCTAGAAATTTTGAAAATGACAGTAACTAATTTCTAAAAAATTGTACCAAAAAGAATTTATTTATGATTAAATTTGTTAATCTGGGGACCGATTGTGTATTTTAAAACAAAATAAAAATTACAAAAGTAAGCAAATTCGCTATGAAATAAATATTCTAGTAAATTTGCTCACTTTTGTTATTTTCACCATGATTTTCATCTTGTTTCAAGATATATAATCGACTTTTTGATTTGATTCGTATCGATTAACACGATTATCATGTCTACGCGGCAAATGCAAATGAGACAGGGATTAAGTTCGGATTGAGTTTGACGCGTATTGACTGACAGCATGATTGAAATAATTGAATAATGGAAAGCAGTAGCGGTCATGATCGTCGTCGAATACAGCGACAAGCATCCGGTGATATTGTGCGATTCTAAAAACGGTAATTTAAGAAACGAGAGCGTAACAAACGGTCAAAGCATCAACGAGTCCGACAAGAAGCAATCCTGCGAGTCGTCATTTCAAAATCAGAAATATATCAGTCCCTCGGACTTATCGCTTGCATACGTCAGAATAGGTGTTGCCAAGCATGATTTCGAGCAGCATCACTGGAAGATCACTACAGATAAAGGTAATAACACAGGTATTCGTAAATCCAACAAATTGAAAAGGCAAATTCAAAATCACATTTAATAACAAATTTACACGAGGTAGACATAACGAGGAATGTAAAGAGAAAAACTGAATAAGAAGATCCATAAAAACTTTGAATGCTTCAGCGATCTGATTTCTGGAAAATTCATTTCTTTAATTTAATCTTAATTTAATTAAACAGAAAGGACGATTTTGCTGAAATATTCAAAAATTTAGCTAAATCTGAACATATAATCTTATTGAACTACAAAATAATTATGTAGAATGCTCGGACGAGCTGGTTACTAGAATGTAAAAACTTTTTGCAACACTGCCCATCATGCTTAAGTTTCTGCGTAATTATTTTGATTGATGGACTAACAAAATTTTGAAATTTACGTCTAATTTAATTTTTAAATACTTCAACAAATTCGTTCTTTCCGTGTGTGTAACTTTATAAAAATATTCTCTCTCCATTATTCTTTAAAGACGTTTTAAATTTTTCACGCTTTTATGTCCTAGTATTTTTTTATAATCATTAATTTTTTATATTTATTAATAAAACTTTCCGAATAGACGCATTATGCAAAGGAAGTGATTCAAAGCAGCACAAAGAGAATGTGGAAGAAGCGTCAAAGACCAGGATTAAAAAAAGGCAAAGGTATTTCAAAGAACTATACATTTCGTTTGAGAGCCGAAATTGATTTTGTAATTTAACGAAACAGATATTTAACAATCTGCACGGTAAATTGCAAGTACGACGTGGTTAGACGTGTGGCCGTGCGATTTGGGATGAGGCAAGTTACGGAGGACAGCAGTTGGAATCTCTATTGGACCGACCTAAGCATCAGTGTAGAGCGTGTCAAAGACATGAAGAGGTTCCAGAGGGTCAATCATTTTCCCGGGATGACAGAGATATGTAGAAAGGATCTACTCGCTCGTAATCTCAATCGCATGCAGAAGCTGTTTCCGAAGGACTATAATTTTTTCCCGAAAACTTGGTGCTTACCCGCGGAGTAAGATGCACACATTTTAATGATTTAACCTGTTCATTTTACAAATAATATAGTTCTAATAAAATTTTATTAGAATGCTATTTTATCGTTAATAATATATATTAACATAATATGTCTCAATCGGCAAAAATTTATTTTCCGTTTCACGTTTAAATTCAGTGCATCAAATTTGAATAATTAATATAAAACACAAATTATACAATTTTTATCTCAGTGTCTACATTAAGCATATAAAACATTATTTTCTATAAAATATTCATTCTTCACGAATAAAATTTGCTTAATAATTTTATGTTTCTATTTATACACATCCTTCGCTTTGAGTCTAATTGAAATTTTATATCTCAGTATAAAACAAACACGCACACATTAATATTTTTTAATAGTAATAATAATCATAGATGAGATTAAATATCGTATGACAATTCTACGAATCGTTTCATGTGTCAAAATAAAAAATGCGGTTTATCGATTGAAAGCCCTCTTATCTATTTTACAAGCGCGAGGTTGTCGTATGCGTGAGTCATTCTGTTTTGCTTCACTGAACGATCGCTCTCAGGTTCCCAGTCGTAAATTCCAAAGGTTTGCCATTACGGTGATAAAGAATAATCAATATTTCCCAAAGTCAAAGAGCATATAAGCAGATCAAAAGCTCTGGATTTCGACTTCCAGTCACGGTGACGCGATGACTTATTCCAAGGCACGGAGATCGAAAACCTTCATCATCAAACCGGATGCCGGCTGCCAAGGTCGTGGTATTTATTTAACAAAACATTTAAAGGACATCAAACCAAACGAACGTTTGATCTGTCAAGTATACATCACAAGGGTAGGAAATATTAATTTTTCCCGCAAGAAAAAATCATTGGAAATTTATTTTCTCTTTTTTATAAATAAGATACAATCTTTTACACATTTCTCTTTTCTTTATATTCTCTTGAGATTCTCTAAAATTTGTTCAGATTTCTTTCTAACTAATATTCGCAATTGTAACCAAAAATTTCACAGTTACAGCACAGAATAAGTATAATGTAGTCTTTTTTCTTATCATACCCTTAGCCCTTCTTAATAGACGGATACAAATTTGATCTACGTATTTACACACTAATCACGTCATGTGATCCTCTCAGAATCTATGTGTATAACGAAGGACTCGTGAGGTAAGACATAAATGTAAAAAGAATACTTAAGAAAATAAATCTTGATGACATAAGATATAATTCTCTTGAAATATTTTTGAATATAAATAATTATTTTTTTATATAAACAGTTTATACTTTTTTATACTTTTCAAATTTACACACATATACATATACATGTATATATTTTTTCGATTTATTGAGTAGTGCAAAACACATCACATTTTTAGATTTGCAACCAGCAAATACAAGGAACCGATCGGATATAATATTTCTAATATGTTTATGCATTTGACAAATTACTCCGTTAACAAGCATAGTCGAATGTATGTTATTGATGATGAAATTGGTAGCAAAAGGTTCGTATATGTATTGGTTGTAGAATTGGCGATAAAATACCAATTGTACAGCGAATTATTCCTTGCAGAAAAATATCAACATTGAATAAGTGGTTTCAAACGAAAAATATCGATGTAGATGAATTATGGAGTAAAATCGACGAAATTATAATTAAAACTATAATCGCCGCATATCCCGTATTGAAACATAATTACCACACGTGCTTCTCAATGCACAATATGACTTGCGCGTGTTTTGAGCTATTGGGATTCGACATTTTGCTCGACTGGAAGCTCAAGCCTTACCTTCTTGAAGTAAGCTTTTCACAGAGAGATTAAGACATCGAAAAAAAATATTATTAAACAATAAAAATAAGAAAAGTTCAGATGAGATTAATGAGAATCATACGCTATTGTAGGTGCGAAGAGATAGATGAAGTAGATAATTCTCAGATGTTCATGGTTATCTTTATTTTATTTCGTCGAAATAAACCTTTATTATTTAAAATGAACCTATATTATTTTTATTGTTTAATATTGAGAGTCCTTATTTATATTTATATTTATTTATTTAATTAATTGTGTTTAAATATTATTAAATATATTCTCTCTACAATTAGTAAATCTATCAGGTAAATCACTCGCCAAGCTTTCACACAGATGCACAGATAGATAGAGACGTAAAGGAAGGATTGCTGATGGACACCTTCGATATATTAAATTTACATCAATACGATAAGAAGAAAATAATAGAAGAAGACAGGAAGCGAATCAAAGCGCGACTTCTTCAAGGCTTAAACGGAAATGATCTCAGGCAAGTGAAATATTTCAAAGAACATAATATAATTTTATAAATAATTGTACCAATCTCGTAGTAATTAATTTCAATTAATTGCAAAACTTTATAAAACTTATTAGTAAAAAATGGCATCCAATTATAAACATTTTTTACAATCCATACGTGATATAAAAATTAAATCCAAATTTTTAATTAATATGTTATAAAATATTTATTAAGAGTCTCTCATTTTATAAAATATAATTCATACAACATAGAATTTAAAAAATTCGAGTTTTTCTATATATTATAACAGAAAATATATTGCAGTAAAAGTCTGATAATAAATCGAAACATTACAATTCGCAGTCAAATTAATGACTCGGCTTTGATGAAATCCGATAGAAACGAGAACAATTACATGCAGAGGCAATTTCAGTGGGAGGACGACCACATGGGCAATTTCCGAAGAATTTATCCATGCTTTGACGAGGATAAATATCAGTCTTTTTTCACACAGAATGTCATTTCCGTTTTCCAAGATACGGTGGCGTCAAGAGCGCGCGAAGAAGCGTCGAGAATAGAGAGAGAAGAGAACGAGGTAAATTTTTCATCAATTCACGATTTTGTATCCTCAATTTGGCAGATGAATCTTTAAAACAATTCTTTATATTTATAAATGTTACGTTAATATTATTGCCAATACGATATATATATATATATATATGTAAAGCGAAATGAGATACTTTTTATATAAATAACATCACGAAGCTTTTATCAGAGATTTTTATCAAAGTAATATAAAACTTTTTAAAATATAGCAAGCATTAACGTTAATAAAATTGCTCGTTGTTCATCCAATAAAATAAATTGCAGCATTAATCCACACACATATAAGCTTTAGCTTTAATATAAATTATTATACTCAAGAATATTATCAAATTATTATTATTAAATTGATATTTTTTCTAATTATTTTTTAATACCTTAATAAATTACTGCTAATTCTTAATCTTTTAATCGGTTATTTTTCATAAATAATTTTGTCTTATTTCAGCTAAAAGCAAAAGAGGAAGAACGCAAACGAATAGTCGGGAAATTGAGCGAGCAAAAATTAGGCCCAGAAAGTTCAAACGCACCAAAAAAATTGCAAGAGAAAAGTAAATCCGCAAGCGTGATAAGGAAAAACGTTAGTATACAAAACGTTAGTATACAAAACAGTT